CCATTAGTTATTTGTTTTGAAGAAACAAAAGGTTTTCACTCAAAATTTTATTATTATTATTATTTTTGCATTTTGCCTATTTGTTTATATGACAACACCAGTTTTGTAACTAAAAAAGCACAAATCTGGTTTCAAAGTGGAAGTTTTTGAAAATGTCGCCATTGTCTTGTCCATGTAAATACCAGAAAAAAGACTTTTTGAAAACCACGTCATCAAGCTTGTTCACAGTACATGTTCATGGAGCTGTAGATTAATTGCAAGCGCAAACAAACCTGCATCACATCACAATCAAAAGCGGAGACACATCTTACGCAGGAAATTAAACAGAGATTTCATGTCGTTATTTTGCCTACAGGTACTGTTCACTAACAAGATGACAGCAGCAAATAATGGCCTGGCATACGAAATGCAGCATTTTTACCCTCCTTTGTGATATGTGTAAAGGCAAATTGTTTTGAAATTGCTGTTGTTTAGACAAAAAACCTTTTAAAAATGCAAGGAAAATGTTTTTCTCTTTTTGCCTACATGGTTTACGCGTAAATGTAGCCTAATTTTGTCCGATTTTAGGTTCCCTGACGATTTTAGGCTCTCCACCTCAAATTTTACCCCTAGGTAGAGAGGGACTCTCCATCATCATTCCACTTATAACATATAGACCAGTAATTGGCTGCCATGCTGTCAAAGCGTGAAAAGAAACACCACTTGCCCACTGTGAATAAAGCTATAGAAAGTTTTTAACCAGTCAATCACTTCATGGTTAGCCTGAGTCAAGCATAATCATAATGTTTATTTGCTACCAATTTTAGACTAATCAAAAACATATTTTCGTCAGTGAGTGACAGTACAGTCTAAATTGGTCAGCTAAGCAAAAACAGAGTTCTGTCTCACTGCCTGACAGAATGAAGGCTTTCCGCTGTACATCTCACTCATCTCTGCAGTCACTTATATAATGCAATTGAGCTGAATAAAGCTGGATGCCTCATTTAGAAAGTCCCAAAGTATCAGCAGAGTTTTATGTAACTTTCTCCTACTTTTTTTCTGACTTTTCTGTCTAAATTTTGTAAGCAGGACTCGGACATTGCCACCTGCCAACCCGCAAAATGAGATGAGTTGATTTCAGCTGTGGCGAGTTAGACAGACACTCCAACTAGCCTCTTTGGCTGGTTGAAAATGACAATAAGAATGGCCAAATATGCATGCAAATGGGATCTTAGAATCGAAAAGCAGCATGACTGACAAAAATAATTATGTTCGTGTAAGCAAAAGAAAGCAGGTGAATACCGAATAAGAGGATGATCACTCACGTGCATCACATCACACTTTAACAAGTGTGCACGCTCCCGTTATTTGTTAATATGTTTTAATTATAATTTTTTTAACAATAACATTGCATTAATATGAGATCACTCCCTATTTATGTGTAGTTAACTGGTGATCTGGGACCTTTAGCAGGGACAGATTACTGTGCCTTTTATTTTGCTTGTCACAATATTTAAAATTTGTGGCTAAGAAATAATTATTTATTATTTTTGGTGTGTTCAAAGTTAAATTTGGTAAATCCTTAATTTGCTCATGCTTATTGAGCAAGATAAATATAATATATTTATAGAAGATAAATATAATAACATACACAACACAAAAAAAAGTATGAATGAGGATGCATGTGGACATAACACAAAGTCTAAGTAATTTCAGCATGTCAAAGTCTAATTTATGCATATAAAATAGATTTTCCCAACAACAAAAGTGTGGCTAGTGAAAATGTCGAGTGACTGAAATGTTTAAAATCTTCTAGCCAAAGTGGCTGGTGATCAAAAAACTTAATGTCAAGCCCTGTGTATAAAACAAGTTAGTATTTAAAAGATGGTTAATACCGAATTAAAATGAGTTATTAACAAACAATAATAAACAAATTTGCAAATGCTTATTATAACTAGTAATCTAGTTAGTATTTAAAATATTTAAGTTCTTTTAATCAGCTAGGGTTTATCAACTTCTTTGGAAAAATTGATTTCAAATAAGTACTGTTTTTTTTTCATCAAGAATATTTTTGCATTCGTTTTTAGCAAAACTATATTTTAGCATTCGTTTACACAAAAATAAATATCGTATATAATAATATATACAATATACAATATATAAATAATGTATATATTATCAATAATAATTTAAATGATCGATTAAAACTTAAAATATAAAAAATCTGTTAAAATATATTGGTTACAAAATAACAAAACAAAAATAATATTTATATTTATTTAGAAATTAAATATTTAGTCAAATAATTTTGTTATTATTATATATACATAATAAAATAATCTAAAAAATATAAAAAATATATTTGCCTTACACACTGCGTTTTCATTTTTTCTCTTTCTTGCCTGAAGTGTGACCCTCACAAAATGAATATTTCCATAAACAAAACGTGTTTTCTTTTCTCAGGTAAATTAATTATGTTTTAAAAGGAGCAGTAGACCTGTAGATTTATTTCACCCAGAATCAAAATATCTCTCTCTTTAAATACTGAAAGTTTTATGTGTCACAGTCTCCATGGTCCAGTTATTCTAATATTTTCAAACCAAATGAATGGGGGCAATAGATAAACACTGAGCTGGATCTGAATCCCAGACATCCCCGACTATGCAACGTCTCAATGAGCCTCTGTATATACTCTGTGTGTGTGTGTGCGTGTGCATGAGCACGTGTGTTTGTTGTGTATGTTCTTGCCTCTGCTTATGACGTGTCTGACAGTGAGTCTGTGTGCATGCTGGCTTAGGTAAGTTCAGTTTATGCGTGTATGTGTGTGTTTTTTAGTGTTCAGAGGGCTCCAATAGGACCTCCACACACAGTGAGTCTCCTTCACAAAAGCCATTTGACGTGAGCTCTGCCCAGTTCAGGAAGCCCAACCCAAAGAGCCCCTAAAACCCCTGTTTGAACACTGAGCCCTCTGTTTACACCCACCACAAATAACCTTTAATGATATCATAATGCGTTACACATCACTGTCATCTGCATATAACGAGTGGACGATTATAAGTCATTATTGAATTTTAGCCATTATAAACGTTAGGAGATTGGACCGCATACATTGCTTGGTTAACAAGAGCTCTGTGTCTGTCTTTACACAGCCATTTAAAAGAAATTGAGATGGGTTTGCAGTGTTGGGCATTCATTCTATAGTAGTCTAATGGAGATTTCGTTTTTTTATGAATTTGCTATCATAGTGTAAGTGTACAGTTGTTCCTGAGGTGATTTTACTTATTACAGTATTCACACAGCCTGTTTTACTAAGAGCTAAAGTACAAATGGGAATAATATTCCCCAAGTAGTGTCTAATGGAGAGATTGTTCAGCACTTTTTAAAAACATAATAGCTTAAACAACTAATTTTGTCTTTGTCATGATGACTGTACAGTATTTAATATTTTATTACTCATTATTTTGAAAGATACTAGACTTTCTCCAGAAGAACAAACATTTAACAGGACATGTGTGGATATGTCCTTGCTCTGTTAAACATCACATGGGAAATATGTGAAAAATAATTAAAAATTCACAGGAGGTCTTATATTTTTGTGCTTAACTGTATGTTTTAGGACACCATTTTTGTTGCTGGAATAGTAGTATGCATGCCAACTGACTTTTGTAATCATTTGAAACGTTGCAATCACTATTATTGTTGTTGTTGTTGTTGTTGTTGTTGTTGTTATCAGCATTTTATTATATTTTCATTTGAATATATTTTAAAAATAGTTATTTTATTTTTATTTATTTATTTATTACTATTATCAGCATTTTATTGTATTTTTTATTTTACTTTACATTACTTTATCTTTATTCCAAATAATTAATTAATTATTTTTTATTATTATTATCAGCATTTTATTTAAATTTTAAAATAGTTTAGAATTTTTTCCTTTTTCTTTTGCTGTTCTTTTCTTTTATATTATTTCTTTTATTTTATTAGTATTTCTACATTATAGTCTATATTTATCAGCATTTTATTATTTTTTATTTTAATGTATTTAAAAATATTTTTAATTTGCTTTTGCTTTCTTTTTTCTTTTTTTCTCTTTTATTGTATTTTATGTTTTTTATTTTATTTCATTATTATTATTATTATTATTATTATTATTATCAACATTTTATTATAATTTTATTTTAATATATTTTTAAATATATTTTCTTTTCTTTCTATTTTTATTATTATTAGCAGCAATTTATTATAATTTTATTTAATATATTTGTAAAATTATTTTGAATTTTCCTTTCTTTTTCCTTTTGTTTTCATTTCTTTTATATTTTTTCTTTTTTCTTATTTTTATCATTATTATCAACTTTTTATTATTATTTTATTTTAATGTATTTAAAAATATATTTTAGAATTTTATTTATTTTATTTTATTTTATTTTTCAGTAATTAGTTTGCAACAACTGGCCTAGTTTTTTTTATTCACAGGCAAGAACAACAACAAACATCCACAAAACAGCATAGAGACTGGACACATGAGATTCTGAAGTGCGAAGGCAATGCGTTTATGTGCATACGTAGAATAGTAAAGTATAATTTGGGCTTTACAATTTCCTGTAACAGACAGACTAAAAAAAACTACTTTTACAGCTTCCCCTTGTACCTGTTTCACTAGACCATACTGTGGCATTTTAATACTGTTAAATGGAAAATGTATGTAATGTCTTTGCAGTGTCGGGCAGTTAACATTTAATCCAATCCACTGCAGTTCGCTGCTTTGTTAAACCCAAAACAAGTGCTTCCAGCACAGTCAATTACACTGGCTTTAGGAAGGAGAGGTGAAGCTGGAGCACATCATCCGTAGTGTTTTTTCTCTCTCTCCTTTGTTACCCCTGTCACTTCAACTGCAGGGAGCTTAGTGGATTTCAGTGTTTGCTTCCACCACGTGTCACTGATATAAGTCCATGAGTGTGTGTGTGCTCACTGCATGATTGCAAAACCACATAATTATGGGATTATGAGAGAATTACCTGTTTGCAGCAAGCCCGCACTGCTGTCACCAACTTTGAATTGTTTCTGTATGTCAAGCAGGACACCTGAGGAATACAGACAGAGACAGATTACTATTCACCCTCTGATGTAAATTTTGGCCTTTAAGCGCAACAGTTTGAGTGAAGCTGGGTTACTGAAGAAATACAGTTATTACATGAATTACCTTTCAGACTAAGCCTTTTCAAGAACTGAAGTTATTTACTGGTGTTCCTTATTACGTTTACTTCTGATCCTTTTTAGCAGAGCAATCATAGGCTTACGTGCGAGTCTGTAGTCATTATAAAATTGTCTCTATTGACTTTATAAATGTTACTGGATTTACTGTGCATGATTTATTGGTACTTGTTATAAACATAAATCATAATCTTTTGTCTAAAATAGTGATGCACTTATATTAAAATTCACGCTGTAATGATATGCTGCTAATGATTTGCAATTTGATAGCAGCAGTAATTAGCCAAAATTAACACCTTTCATAAAATGAAAAATGTAACCCTGAAATAATAAAAATTTAATAATAGTTTTAAAAAATATTATTATTAATAATAATAATAATAATAATAATAATAATAATTATTATTATTATTATTATTATTATTATTTATATTATTATTGTTTATGTTACTATTACTATTATTATTATTATTATTATTATTACTATTATTATCATCATTACCATTAATACAAGTATTGTTAGTTTAACACTCTGTTTAGGTTATTTATCGAAATTATTTATCAATATAAATAAAAAAAATTGTACAAATATATATCTGAAATGTTCTTCTAAAATAAGCATTTTTCCTAGTCTTCTATGTTTATATGCTATTATTTGACTTTAAAGGCTATGAAAATAATCTATTCATCTCCATAACAGTTAAATATATTTGAAACTACACGGGGAAAAAATAGAATAATGCCAATTTGGGAAGAATATTTCTGATAGCATTTAGAGACTTTCCATCTGAACTCTTCATATTGTTACATAAAATAATTGTTATATATAATCTTATGAGTATTTTTAAATAAAAACTAAAGTAAATGCGCATAAAAAATGTATTTAATTTATATTATTTGTAATATTATTATTACAAATAATATTCGTTTTCAAATATATTTAGCTTGTTTATATGATATAAATGAATTAAATGTATTATAATTTAATACATTATTGGAAAAAAATACTAAGCATATATATTGTTATAAGTATAAATAAATAAATATTTTTAACAGAATTATTAGCCCCCCTTTGAAAATGTTCTTTTTTAAATATTTCCCGAATGATGTTTAACAGAGCAAGGAAATGTTCACAGTATGTCTGAAAATATTTTTTCTTCTGGAGAAAGTCTTATTTGTTTTATTTTGGCTAGAATAAAAGCAGTTTTTAATTTTTTTAAAAACCATTTTAAGGTCAATATTATTAACTTTTAGCAATTTTTTATCGTCTACAGAACAAACCATCATTATACAATAACTTGTCTAATTACTCTAAACTGCCTAGTTAACCTAATTAACCTAGTTCAGCCTTTAAATGTCACAGGCTGTATAGAAGCGTCTTAAAAATATCTAGTCAAATGTTATTTACTGTCATCATGGCAAAGATAAAACAAAACAGTTATTAGAAATTAGTTATTAAAGCTATTGTATTTATAAATGTGTTGAAAAAATCTTCTCTCCTTTAAATAGAAATTGTGAAAAAAAATAAACAGGGGCTAATAATTTTAAATGGTATTTTCAAATAAAAATAAAACCAAATGCGCATAAAATATGACTTAAAAAATAGAAATGCAAAAAAAATCTTTATAATATAAAAAATTAAAAAACATTCTGTCGAAGTGAAACAAATGTGTTTATATATCCCCAAAAAACGAAACAGAAAAGAGAAAGAAACAGCGCTGAAAGTACCTTGAGCTGCAGACAGTAAGAAAAATCCTGCACTGGAATGCAAGCAGGTGGCCAGACTCGTGTGACAGGAATGCTACATTTGTCACTGTATGTGTGGACAAGCCTGCACCTGCCTAAGTGCTTCTTCTCAAGACGTCTTTGCTACAACGTGCCAGTGACAAGTCAAAACGGGTGGCGACGGGAAACCGCGAAGCCATCGAGACGAAACTCGAAGATGACTAAAGCCACCGCAACAACAGAAACAAATTGCTATTTTTATTTCTCACAGCCACTCCTGCGTTGCATGTGTGCGTTTGTACAAGACCTTAAAAAGCATGACGTAATAAGCCAGGCGAAGTTAATTAAGAGACATTTCGGTGACATTAGGTGTTTGTTCTGGGTGCGAGAGAGAATTGTGGGAAAGCTGTGAAGCGGATGTCTTTCTCTCTCGCTCTCTTTATCCGTACAACACTCTTCAGTGATTCAGAGAGATGTAACATCGGAGATAATAACGTCAAGTGTGTTGGATCTCTATCGCTCTTGTCTAATTTCATTGGCTGTCAGTCACAGATCTTGTTTACAGACTCTTCTACATTTAGAAGTGTCTGAGTTCAGTCGGCTTTTCCATAAAAAACAGATCAAAGTGTTTGTCTGAGAAGAGTTTGACAGTTGAGAGCTCCGGAGGCTTAATTTTTCACTTTAAAGTGATCAGAAAGGAGGAATGTGGAGATGAGAGACGGGTGATTTAAAGGCAGCAGCACCAAAGCTGCAATTACACTTAAAAGAAAAAAAAGGAGTAATGGTCTGATCAAGAGCCCTTCAGATTGCTGGCCAACACACACACACACACACACACAAATACAGCAACAAACCATACACCAACATGATCTCATGAGATAATAGGAGATGTGGGGATGAGGAATCCAATAAATTTGTTACTGTTGATTTAATTTTATGAATAGTTGTTAAAGATTTCAATATTTAAATAAATTTTAATTCACATAATGCTTATATAATATTAATGTTGATTATTTTACAGAAAAGTCTAATTAATATTAACAAATCTTTAAATCTAGTGTAATGCTAATTAATTAAAATGCATTGTTCATTGTAAGTTCAGCTTTAGATTTGAATCATTTATAAGTAAACATTAAAAATTAACTAAAAAGCCAAACCGTACCTCATCAAGGTGAGGGGGTTAACTGCTTTGGGGGGAAAACCCATGCAGGCCAACACGGCTCTGGCCTGGAGAAAGATCTGGCAACTTACTCCAGTATTCTGAAATTCCATGTGTCAACTGAACACCGAGTCAAATACAGATTAATAGAACTGTGTGGAGAGGAATGGTCCATAGAATGACCGATAATTGATTGACAGGGTGTCCGAGGGGGCCTTAAAGTATTAAAAGTTGATTAATCAATGTAGAGAAATTTAAGGCCCTGAAAAAGTATTAAGAAGTCTTAAATGCTACAGTATTTTGCAAGATATAACATTTGATATCATTTTTGATTATGCAATGTATGGTTGTATGCTAAAGTTAAATCTCAATTAAATTTGCGAATATAAGGATGCTGTGTAGTTTATGAAATCAATGAAATCCTACTAGATTTGACATCATGCTGCTTTGTTTACTTCTGTAACCAAGGCAAACCCATTATTTTTGCAGTTCTAAAGCCGCCAAACTGCTGAATAAGCTCGATTTATTAGATTTTTATTCAGTATATGAATAATGTTTTAGTTTTATTAACTTCTTACAATAATATTTAGTAAATATACTGTAAGTTAAAATCTCGCCAGTACTTCCAGTTGAAAAGTGGTAAAAAGGTCTTAATGTATGGAAAGAGTCTGAAAAAGGTCTTAAAGTATTGAATTTCACTCTCTGATTCCTGTATATACTCTGGTTTGAAAATGTTTTAAAGGGATAGTTCACCAAAAAAAAATTACATTTCCTCACATTTATATTTGTTTGGAAATATAATTTTTGAGATAACTATCCCTTTAAATGAATATAAATGAACTATATTGCCTTGTTAGGTAATGCTATCTAATATTTATTTTTTATAATTTAGAAATATATCCTTTTCCAAACCTTAAAGGTTAAAATTAAAATGAAAAAAATATCATAATTTTTAAAATAGTACACCTATTATTGAAGGAGATGGGTTAAAATAGTTTTTAAATGCCATTTTTAAAATAATATTCTCATATATTATTATTTTTTTATTTATTATTTGCGTTAACTATTCATGTAAAAAGTTTACTGTTCTCATTTGATTTTGGTGTGTTTTTCATATTGTAACCCCGTGATTTACATCAAATCCAATGCGGGTCAATGCATCTACAACATACAAATTGTACTTAATAACATAATAAAGGGGTTAAGTAGCATGCGATAACTATTCGATATCTAAATTCTTGTTCGTTCGTTTTCCTCTGGCTTAGTCCCTTATTTATCAGAGTTAAATGAACCACCAACTAATCCAGCATATGTTTTTTACGCAGCGAATGCCCTTCCAGCTGCAACCCATCACTGGGAAACAATCATACACACTCATTCGCGCACATACACTGCAGTCATTTTAGCTCATTCAATTCACCTATAGCACATGTCTTTGGACTTGTTGAGGAAACCAGAGCACCCAGAGGAAACCAACGCGAATACGAGGAGAACATGTAAACCACACAGAAATGCCAAATGACCCAGCCGGTACTTGAACCAGCGACCTTCTTTCTGTGAGGTGACAGTGCTAACCCCTAAGCCGGCGTTCTGCCCCATCTAAATTCAGAGATAATAAAATATTTTATTTTACATCAAATTAAAATAGTTAAATATTGCACAATTAAAACTTTTGAAAAAAAGTAAAAAATTTGCCCAATCCAAACATTAATTTTTCATATCACACAGTATGTACCACTGAGATTCCAAAGCCCACTAGCAGAATTTAATATTACCCAATTACATCCCTAATTCTAAAGATAAAGTCCTGTCTAGCTGTTTAAAAGCCTCCTGCTAAACTCGAAGCACTTTAAATGGATTTTATTTCTTCTCAGTTACTCATCTTGTTCTAGCTGATATAGGTGGGCGTTCTCTCGGCTCAGAAGCGTCTCCTCCCGCCCTCTTTCCATTAGTCTAATCTGAGGCAGCGTACTAATTACCTTGGTC